ATGAGTTGAGACTTGTCTTCTCTTGTGGGGTCAGACTAACAGTTCTTAGCCAGCATCCAAGTGATTTAAGCCTGCTTCATCATTTCTTTTGTTATTTGATCAATTATGCAAATTATGGCTACAGTTATGCCCGTTAGTCGCAAAAACTATTACTTTCTTTCTTTCTATAGGAATATCTTATCTCCCATGTGTTTATAATCATGTTCCCTGACTTCCAACATCATGCATTATAGCATTTCTCATCTATAACAAATGGTTTTTTGCCTGTACACTAACGACGTGTGTTCTGAAACCAGTAAACTTATATCGAATATTTAATTAGCCTTGCAAGTTATTAATGATTCTGATTATACTAATAACTTAAAAGATGCACATATAAACAGTTCAAGAGGCAAAAATAGAAATAAAAAATCACCAACACTGGTGATTAATTTACATGTAAAGCAGTAAGAAAACGTTTGTACTCATCAACACCACTGATTTATTTACATGTAAAGCAGGAAGGAAACGTTTGTTCTCATCAGCGCCGGTGATTTATTTACATGTAAATAAAGGAAGGAAACGTTTGTTCCCATCAGCGCCACTGAACTGTTTACATGCAGTAAGCAAGAAAACGTTTGTACTCATCAACACCACTGATTTATTTACATGTAAAGCAGGAAGGAAATGTTTGTTTCCATCAACACCGGTAATTCATATACACGTAAAGCAGGAAGGAAACGTCTGTTCCCATCAACGCTGATGATTTATTTACATGTAAAGCAGGAAGGAAACGTTTGTTTTCATCAACATCGCTGATTTATTTACACGTAGTAAGCAAGAAAACGCTTGTTCCCATCAACGCCAGTGATTTATTTACATGTAAAGTAGGAAGGGACGTTTGCTTACGATGTTCGAAAAAAAAACATCCATTGACGAGTTTGAGCATGATAGGCTTGTTATAACAATGGGTAAGTTGATCGTTAATATTAGAAATATTTACCAAAGATGGAAACAAAATAACAAATCTTCTTTTTATGGTGTTTAACTTGTCTCTTAATAATTGTTTTAGTGTTTACTGAACATTAAAAGGATTTGGTATTCTCAGGCCAAATATAATCGTATGCAACACATGAGATAAATGACCAAGTCAGTGACCCTAGAATTCAAGCAAAACTGCTCCTAGCTTTGAGCTGCAGATCAAAATTAGCAGCACTCGACGTCTACACGTCTATATTAACCGAATAGCAGTTTTGACTATCACTTTGATAATGGTACTACAACTGAGAGTAGGGGGTGTGTTCAGTGGCATATCGTGGGCTCAAAAATTGTACCGCTGACCCGCATCCCAGCACGCTAGCCACTTGTCTGGACTAATACTACAGTGAGAAATAATTAATTTTTCATTACAACCTGGACTATATATTATTCAAACATTTCAGTGATTAAATAACCTTAAAAACTTAATTTAACTCTCGAGAGTTCAGAACATACTGTAAGGTCATGGCACTGTTTAAACAAGCACTAAATCTTACCCCTTCCTGCGTACATAGTCAATACATTTACATATTCTATCAAGAATATAGGGGGCGAAGGAAAGTGAGAAACCTTATTTTCTACCACAACCTTAAATATATCTCGAAGCGGCATTTAAAACCCAAACCTCCTTTTCGTTATGAAGTATATTGAAAAGTTAGTTTTCATTTTTCTGAGGTTCGCCCTTACGGAAGGATGATTTTCTTTAAAAAATATACACTCTTTAAGTAAAGTGTCAAGCCTCTTCCATGTTTTAAATGAAGCGTTCTAAAGAACTGGTCTACGTAATCAATATCTACAACTTCCAAGCAGCCAGCGAGCGATTACCAAAAACGTCTTCCAACGGGGCCGAATACATGATGTCAAATTAGCTATTATAAAACTAGTAAATAATACATCAAACAAGTAACTTACTATAAGTGCAATGCTTAAAATGATCATGTGGTGAATTTACATTCAGCTTAACTCCTAATTCACCACATCACATTTTATTCGCGTCGTATAACTCAGTTCCTTAGGTGATAAAATGTGATGTGAGGAATTAGGAGTTAAGCTTAATGTAAATTCGGTTTTACAGCAAATTAATAAAATGATGTAATATGAGTAATGCCAAGTTTCTTTATTTTGCTGTGTTTATGAGATATCACCTACTTTTTTTAGCTAAATCGGAATTTTGACTTGTTTTTTCGCTTAAGTATTTTTGAATGGATTTCACGCATTTTGTTTTGTTACGTCAGCCCAGGACACTTACATTATTGTTTAACTAGACCTTTAAATGGAAACAACTCATACAGTGTAATAATATGTAGTTGAGGAATAGGGATGTAATACGCAGATCAAGATATTGTTAATATAACACATTATCAAGTAGGTTACATGGTATTGGAAAGTGTGTTACATTTGAACATAAGAACGTGTGAGAAAGAGCTAAAAGCAGCGGTGGCACTCTAAGCGAAATGAACTCTGGGAAGGACAGTGACCAAATGAATGGAATGAGGGATGTTCTTTCTGATTCACCTTTAACTTGACATGCTTTCAAGAACGCATATTTACTTACAACTAAAACGAATTAGGTAAAATCCTATCAGCCGTGGTCACTAAACGCTCGCGTTGTAAGCCCTCAATTCAGTGTTCGCAACTGCACTAGGAGTATTTATCATTTTCTGGAGTTGCTTCGCTTAGTGGTGAATAATGGCGAAATAAAGGTTATTTAACTTTCTTACTAAACGTTCTTCTTCATATGTGTAACACTGAGAAAACAAATACTTGAACCATTTTTTAAATTCTTGGACAAAGATTGATGGTTCTGATACCTTTGAAATTTTCTGGAAACTTCATGTAGCTCTAGAATTAAAAGTAGGAAAAGATGGTGAATGAAACTCTGCAGGCCTGTTCGAGAGGTACATAGTGTTCAGAATAAAACAAAGCATTTGACATTTTAAGTTCTGAATAACAGTAGTATGTATGTGTACTTTATTCATAATGAAAAAAAAATGCTACGGCAGTTTTGTTTCCTCTTTTCCTTTTTTCATTTCGGCTACAAAACTACCGTTTTGTTTAAGTTTTAAGAAAAGGCTTAATCATTTGCTATGCTGGACTAACAAACGAATAATAAACAAAATATTTCGTATTCAAGCATCGTCTAACCAAACGTACTATAAAATTTAAGGTTTATTACTAGAGTTGCCTTTTCCCTTCAATATCCTCTTAGTTTGAAAAAAAACAGTGTCGTAGATTACCACAGAAACAATGTTTGTGACGGATTTCAGATCCTTATTTACTTTGTATTAGAAAGTTATTTGCATAAAAACTTTAATAGCTTGAAAAAGTAATATTGTCAGACCGAAAGAAATGTTATACTCATTTTGTTTATTTTCTACCACACAATCGTTTAAAATCCTCAACTCCAAGTCTTTATATTATAATCACAACTTTACAAGTAACGAAAACATTACAATTATGTGGACTAAATTATTAATAAGCTTGTGCAACCTGTTTTTGAAAATATCGTTTTAGACTTTTACAGGAGTTAATATTAAGTTACATTTCTCGATGAAACGTTATTTTATACAGAAGGTAACAAAGTTTATTAATGTTCTTTGGAGATTTATAATCTTATTGGAGACACATGTCAAATCTAAAACGAATATGTAGATTATACAATAAGGCTCAAGCTGTAAGATCTAGAAAAGCTATGTCACTAAACAAAATTAACGTTAATTTATTAAGTAGGCTTCTAATGTATTAAGTGGTGTTATTATATTTTGGACAAATCAACAATATCGGCAAGGATGTTGACTTCAAAGGCCTTCAAGTAGATGTATAAGAGAAGATTGTTATAATAACACTATGATTTTTCAAAGACATAACTTCAAGTAGATGTATAAGAGAAGATTGTTATAATAACACTATGATTTTTCAAAGACATAACTTCAAGTAGCTGTATAAGAGAAGATTGTTATAATAACACTATGATTTTTCAAAGACATAACTTCAAGTAGATGTATAAGAGAAGATTGTTATAATAACACTATGATTTCACATTTCAGTCGCTCAGCATATTTCACGTTAGAAATTAGGTTTCTATCTATATCCATTCATGCTGTAATTAAAGCAGTAGAAATGATATTCCTCTTCTTGGTTGGAATAACCTAATTTTAAAGGCGCTGCATGTTAGACTCTCATTAAACTGCTAAACGCTATTTCGTCAGCTAATGTTAGTGTTCTTATTTGCTTACACACTTTTTGTCTTTAGATGAAAGTATGTCAGAGTGGAGAAACTTACTCATAGATATGAACCAGTAATTCAAGATATTAGAAAGGAATTGATTAAAACAAAGATTCAAGAATATTGTATGTGTTCTTGTGTTGTTGTTTTGTTTTAAATTTATGTAAGCTCTGAGAAACATCGGCCTCAAACGTAAGTAGAACTGTAATCTTCATTATAATGAAAGGAGAATACAGATATAAGAAGCATTACCCCCCTCCCAAGTCCCTTCCACTCACGCGTTTTGATACCACTAAATCTTAGAGATAAATAGCCTAATTAAATAAACAAAGAGGGCGAAAACAATAAGTATTACTAATGTAGCTAGACATATTTAATAAACATGATAATATAAACTCGAACGACGTAACATAAACTATCACCGTCACCTCTCAAAGAAATTAGCCACGTAATTATATAATTATGTAGCTTTTATAAAAACATTTTCCTCTTGTGCAAACCACACAATAACATATAATTAATAGAATATAAGTAGAGCTAGCGGAGTTATTCTCTTTATTTAATCTGACAGGAATTACAAAATATATTCATTGTACAAATAAATTGATAATGCTTTCTAATTTTGTAAACATTTTCTTTTTGTTTTCGTCAAATTAAAATAAATCTCGAATAAATGCGTTTATCTTTTTATAAACCCTACGTTTGCAGCCTTAGTTCACAAAACATTAATATCTTATATTCATCTTCACAAGCTCACCTCGATATTTGAGATCCTGAAACATTGTTGGACAGTGTGTACCCTGTAAAAAGAAACTATGCTGTAACTACTACAGCTATTTGTATTTTTATCTAATGCTATTATCCAAGTTATCTTAGCAAGAATCAGTTAAGAATTTTAAATCTTACAACTCAGTTTGATGGAGAGAGAGAAAAAAAAAAGATCACAAAATTCCATTTTTAAAATTTAAGCACTTCTTTTTTATTCGTTTAAGTATCAGACAAAAAAGAGATTGTCTTGTCGTAGAAGAAGTTTTAATTCCAACAAACCTAAAAGATATTATTTGTCCCTAACACGTGAAGAGAAGTTACCAATTGTATGAATGGTCGAAAACTCAATGGCCAAACAAAAATTGAGAATAACATTGCAATTATCATTAAATTAAAAACAACTTCGAACTCAATACTACAAGTTTAAATATCTTTGAAAAATAATAAGGAATGTTATCTAATAGCACTTGTAAAAGATATTGGATATCAAAAACATGTAGATTAGTAAAAAAAGAGAGCAATTATACACCTTAACGGCTTAACCACATGTTAACTTAAACGTAAATACATAGGTTAACAGCATTAACGTTAGAAAGAAAAGAAAAATTGTAACACATGCATAAAAAGAACATTTGTAGTTTTGGGCCATAACTGTGTTTCGTACTGAGTCTACTAAGTTCTGTTAGCTGCAGTTCATTAGTAGCGTCGATTAAACTGTGAATCGTGACAAAAATAACACCGATTATAACGCTAGAACTCTCTGATTTATACATTATGGTTAACAAGCGTTACTTGAATGTTTTGAATAAATTAGCATCATTAAAATTGCACACAAGTGTAAAGCCGAAAGCTTTTGATGAGCTTACCCTTGGTCTTCTGAAATCTATATTAGTTCGTACAACCCGGTGATTAAGAGCTTGAATAGGTCTAAAGTTATCAGCCAAAGGTGCTTTAGGGGTCGGTTTGTCGCCTTGTTTTAGTTTTCGTAAGGCGTGCAACTGAAAAGAACATGAAGTATTGAGCTGTAAAGTTACTTAACAATATTTCTTCTTAAATAGTTCTAAATAAATAATCCACATAAAAAACGAAATACCTCTTACTTGGCTTGTCAGAATTTACATACAAATTATAAAAAAATACACCTGTCTCAAATGTGTGTGAGTTGCATGAGTTATGAAAAACTTCTTATCGAAAGTGAAATAAAAGCTAATCTTTTTTTTTAAGATAATAACTTCGTATTAACCAACTGTCCCCTGGAGGTCAATTCCGGTCATAGAATGCTAAAATCCGGGGTTCATTTCCGCGCAATGGACAGGGCACAGATAGCCCAGTACGTATCTTTGTGCTAAAAGACGAAAACATAAATGATCAGCTGAAATCAAAACGCCAGAAGAAAATTAATTAATTAGTGCCCAATCAAACATATATAATAATTTCATCAAATACAACTAAGTCGAAATATATAACTTGTATCAAATATGTTTTTAAAATATTAAGAATTTATCTGTACTTTGTAACAGAAAAATAACACTTGCGATTATGCCTTAATAGGTATGCATTTTACTTATTGTGATTCCTACGACAGAGTATGAATATTTATGTATTTTGGCACTTGTATAATAAAGTTAAAATCAATAAAATAATATTTCAAACGTTAAACTGGTACACAATATACA